AAAAGTTGTTCAAATAATTAGACATCATATCTTATTAGTTGCTATATAGGGTCAGGAACGACCAAAAAATTTTTTTTGACTCTAGTGTTCCGGATATGGTCCGCACATGCCACGCCCATTTTTATAGCGTTTCTTATACAGGTAAAATAGGGAAAATCGCATTTTTTAACATGAAAGCGTCATTTCTGTGCTTTGAGACTTTCTACTCTAATATAAATGTGATGATGGCATTTCGTTTAAACATATTTTCAAAACTCTGTGACCACGCCCTGGCCGTGGACCACGCCCCTATTTCTTATACACATAAAAACACGAAAATCGCAGATTTTTAAATGATTGGATTGATTTAGAGCTTTGAGACTTTCTACTCGAATATAAATGTGACCCAAGCATTTCGTTTGAACATGGTTTAAAATTCCTGTGACCACGCCCTATGTGCCACACCCATATTTTTTTAACAAATTTGTACATTAATTTTATTGTTAAAAGTTATGAAAATTAAATCATACATAATTGTAATACTACTTAAAAACATCTATTTAAACTACAAAAACTTCTTCAGATCTTCTTTGGTCTTGATCGGGAACTTCTCGTGATGCGAAGCCACCACCCTCACCAGCTCCTGCCATGAGTCCTCGTCCCTTGTGATTGCCCCGTTGAGTCGAGTGGCTAGCGCTAGAGCCCGCTCGCAGGAGTCGTTCAGGGGGACAAGATTCCGGAGACCCCGCTTCATGTCGTCGTATTGAGGTAGAAGCCACCACTCATCTTTTGATAGGAAGGTGTGAGACTCCCCAAGTAGCTGGAAGATGAGGATGGAGCGGGGTCCCACGAAGTCACCAAGGCAAGACTTCTCATTGATAGTGGGCAGCTTCGGTTTCTGTATAGGTAAAGATCGGGAGGGTAGTTTTCCTATCTTAGCGGCAAGGATTTCTTTCTTCTCGTCCGGGACTTTATCTGAGAAGAGTGCAATAGGAATCAACTCTTCTGATAGGTACCAGGTGTGTCGCTGGATGATTTCGCTCGTCTTCTTCACGATTTTCTTCGAAAGTCTTCCAGGAACTTTGCTAAACCTCTGTAGAGAGGTGAACATCTTGAGGTCGTTAACGGCTGCATCTTCTAGGGAGGGAGAAGAGAACCAGAACTGCATGTAGCAGAATACTATCCAAGGAGCTAGGGTACGGACTTTCTCCTTCTTCTGCCAGGAGAGTTTCGATTGGTTCAGTTGATGACCAATGAGCGCCAACTTCAGGATGTAGATTGCTTTAGACATCCACAATGTTGAAACCATTTAGGAACGTGGAGAAGGTAGGCATGACTGTTGATAGAATGCGACCTTCTATCTTCCAGTATATATACCTAAGAACACTTGATCGGCTCACTCTCCTTACATGCCTTTAGCAAGTACGTCTCACATCCCTTGATACGAGAACCCCCCCCCCCCCCCCCCCCCCCCCCCCCCCCCCCCCCCCCCCCCCCCCCCCCCCCCCCCCCCCTTAAGCAAGAGCTCCCGTCCCTTATGTGGTCTACGAGTCGAGCAGTCAGATCATGTTTACTTCTTAATGTACAGCTATGATTTACAGAATTTACATGTGAACTCTACCCCAGATCTAGCCCATTTATGTGTCAATTATATTCAATCCATGAATCAGTGAATCACATCACTAATTATATGTCACTAATTAGTGATGTGATCTGACCCCTCTTGGGGGCCGGATCAGTTTTCTGACCCAAGGTCTCCCAGTGGCTCCCACTGTCCTAATCCTGATTTGATCCATTGAGATCCGATCCATCGATACGTGATTGACTATTTGAGGACAGGATCGTGCTAGCCGTACACTAACAAGCTGTAACAGGCTGTCGATCACATCACAGCCTACAGTGCATATAAGAGAGCGGTATGGGAATCAGTTATCGCAATCCAAAAACGCAACCAATCTTCAGTTTACCCCTCGACGCAAGCAAGGCTCGAAGGACCATGTCCTGAACTGATTTATATATAACATTCGTCCAATATATCGACATCAAATGAAAATAAACTATGGTAGAGTTCAGCTCAGATCATATATCAAATTGGAAATGTTACGTATACAAAGTAGCTAGTAACAGTTCAGATCATGTCTCTAATTGGAAATGTGTCGTATTGAAATTATATCACAATTCCGGACATATGTCTTTTTTTCTGATAACTTGAGTCGGACAATAGTCGCTGTCGGACAGATGTCTTGTTACCGTAGCTAATTCTTTCCAAATTTGCGATTTCATTGGAATACATTTTAGTAAGGTCCGGGATTAGAAGTCGGTAAATGTAGCTTCGCTGACTCACAATCTGCGACGTCGTCGTGACTTTAATTTCCGCTCACTGAAGCACATCTCACAAAACTTGCTACCTATATTCAGTTAAGCTGTATGTTGCCAACTTATAACCTCTGATCCTACAAGCTTTCTTTGATAGTATAGTAGCTAACTTTGAAATAGAAAATCTTCTGCATTATGCCTTGCAGTTGCACGGTAAACCGAGATTAAGAGTGTAGCGTAGGAGCGACACAATCGCCCGTGTCGCTCCTGCACTGCACACACTCACACTAACCTGGAGGGGGATATTTAAAACATACAAGTGATATGAAAGGATTTTATTAGCAGGAGCTTTCAAAATACTTGTGTAAATTGTCTTCAGCTCACACTGCACACTAAGCTCGCTCCTGATCAACCGAGCACTTTATGTCCTTATTAGCACAAAAGAGTATCTCTCGCATCATTTCAGTGTCAATGTTTAACTATACTCACAACCGCAATTAAAATTAAATACATTTATTGTGAAAATATTATTAGTTCCACTATTCTCCCCTAACTTCCCAGTTCATCCGATCGGGCAGTAGTAAAGAACAAAATGTATCTTACATATTAAATATTAGCACGATCAAGTGATAGGGGCTGAAATATATCATTTGCTGTTTTACGTAACAGATTAGTAGATTACATTTACAGATGAGTAAATATGTCAATGACAACATGTACTTTTTCAGCATCCGGTCGGAGTTGGGCCTGCAGGAATGAACCCGTTTCTTACTGATTACGAAGTCAATGTTGGGACTGAAAGATCTAACCTGTTTCTTACTGATCACGAAGTCAATGTTGGGACTGAAAGATCTAACCTATTTCTTACTGATCGCGAAGTGATTGTTGCGGCCGGATGGATTGGTTGTCGGTCACCGGATTGTTATATGTTATATGTTATGCAAATGAATCCGTTTCTTGCGGATCACGAAGTGTGATGTAATCTCGTTATCATTTATACTTTCAATCTGTAATCTTCCGTAATCATTTCTATGAAATTGTCTTTAGTTATTTAGTACATATTATTTGTTTATGTACGAAATTGTTTTTAGCATTTATGACAGAATCATTTGAAAATTATTTACATGCAATTCAAATTGTAAAACTATCTCTACTATAATTCTAGAATTATCTTTGTACATTGTACGACCGTCCACGTGAAAGTTGTTAAAACGACATTTTTATCGGTTTTGTGGTAATTATACGTTGTGGTAATTATACGTTGTGTTCATTGCGAGCTATATTTTAATGGGCTGTATACTCGGTCGTGACAGATATTTTTTGATGCGATAAAAACTGACTAAAAAGAATACTATTAGCTTCCTTTGTGTGACCACGGGCTTTTTAGTTTCTTTATAATATACAAAGAATACTTATATTTTTATGTAATCCTGTTGTAATTCAAATTGTATTTCAATCGTAGGATTTTTTAAATTTCTAATTTCTTATTGTACCACAATTCCTGTATTTCTGATTTCATCGTCTAAAAACTTCTTGGAATAGACATAAACCCTCAAATAGATACCAATCATCGCACACGATGTACGTGCACCCGGGGTTAAATACGACGCTATTGTCAGCACTGCGCGCGCGCACACGTACCATCTTATGTGTGCTGATCTGTATGTGCCTATCCTACTTGTGAAACAAGCGCGTCACGCAGTACGCGTAGGCACATGGCTATGTGAAGGGAGGGGGGGTCATGCCATGATTACGTAACATTGCTGTCAGGAGGGGGGTTGGGTCTTGATTTCGGTTGATTACGGAAGTAATCAAGGGGGAGGGGGTAAAAATTGCTAAAATATTGATATTCACCTTACTCGAGTTAAAATGCTTTGAAGTAGCGCGCGCCACGTCTGACGTCAATCCATCAAAAATGGATCTGGACACTGCTTGCTCTAACCAAAGCCCTTTTCTTGCAGTAGAGCGCGACCGCCGATAACAATTTGTTCAATGTTGGTCTCAGCCTGGTATCATGCTTGTATTGGTTTTGGAACTCTTGCCTATTGTTTTTTAATCGTTTTAGCATTTAGTATTATGAGCTAATATGTGACATATAAATGTATGAAAATTTAGCTTAAAAATTAAATGTAACTTGAGTGTAGCAATATTATCAGATTTCAGAATATACTTTATTCAATAATGAAGAACCCGTCGCCACTCTCAGCAGTCAACCAGGGCTTATAAAAGCTTAACTGCGTCTGTGTCCTTTTATTATTTATTTCACCAACTGTGCAAATGAGAGTGACGGTGTGGTCAGGTCGTCTTTAACAGCTCGTGTATTAAATACCAGCTATCTGTTGCCTGCCAGCATACGCACTAACTCCACTAAAGTATATTTATAATAGTTAAGTATAGTGACTTGCATTATAAGGAATTTAGTAATAAGGGAAAAAGGAGTTAGGATAACCATCTATAAAGCTTTGATAAGACCTCATCTAGAGTATTGTGTCCAATTGTGGAATCCAGTTGCGGCTCATGGAAGTTGGGGGATTGTTTTGGAGCTGGAGAGCGTCCAGAGGCGGTTTACCCGTCTTATTGATGAGGTGGGTACCCTTCCTTACAGCCGTAGACTGGAAATTCTCAATTTGACAACGCTGGCAGAGCGGCGAATACGTCGCGTGGGGACCTAATTGAAGCTTTTAAGGTTATTAATGGTTTGACCGAGTACGGCTCAGATTGGTTCAAAGTGAGCAGATCTGGTGTTAATCTTGTATCATCCAACAGATGTTGTAAGAGTATGGCAAAGATTAGGAATCTCCAAAGTTCATTTCTTCCAGAGCGAGTTATTCCTTACTGGAACAAACTCCCTTCAGATGTTAAGAACTCGGTGACTGTTTTAAGTTTTAAGATTAAATTAGAAGGGTTTAGAAAGATATAATTTCTAAGGATATTTCTAATGATTCACATTTTTGGAATGTTTCAAATGAAGTATTAGGGAGAATTGAAGGACCTAGCTATGCTAATAAAGTAATAATAAAGAGAAGCATAACGATTATCTTTATTTCCACCCTTTTGTGGCAAAAAAGCGATTTATAAATCTTTATTCCACTGGGAAGTATAAATAGGGTTATCTTTTGGGGATGCTTTTTGAATTTATTTTGTAATTTATTTATAAAGTTGTAGTTAATAATTTATTGATTTGGGTGGTTAGATATTTATATTTTTCACAGATTCTCCTAGAATAACCCCATTAATAGAATAACTTGATCTTATTATTAAAGTCTAAATGCATAACTAAACATTGAGTAGGATTCAACCTCCAAGGCCACTTACTAATTAATTAATTCACAAAATCTCGATTTTTTGCCAAAAGAATCTCAATTTTGCTTAAATTGACTACCAACGAGCTTGACATTACTAGGAAAACTCATGTGGGACTATCCCAATAGTTTTAATTCAAAAATACGATGTTAAGATATCTTGCCTGGACATGCACATTCAGAATATTTTTCACTGCCAAATCTATAAATATCCCAGCGCCTGACTTTACAGGGCTGTAACTTTGCTCAGGAATGAGATAGAATCAAAAATCAAAAGGTTCTGAGCTCAGAAACAACCTGGCTATTAGATTAAACTAGTTTAAAGTGATTTTGGAGACATGACTTTTTTGCTAAATGTCAGCATGGAGCCCCACTGTGAGGTCCTTTAAGTTCCTTTAAATCTTTAACCATAGTGTCATGACTCATGCTGAAAAGTATTCCATTGAGCTTAAAGGATGAGGGGACCTTAGAAAAAGTTTTTTTCTCGTGCAAATCCTTCTATTACATTAATCGTATAAACCACTTTAGTGAAATCCTCAAAGCTGTATTTCATTCGCACGCCAAGATATCCCGCCAAAACAATTTGAACCTGTCAATTATGGGACCTGCTCTGATCCGCGCATATAGAAATACAGGTAAAATGAGCGTGCGGGCAGACTAAATTACTAATTAAGAATACATTAACAATTTACGATACTAACGAGCCTATAACCAATGGAGAGGAGACTTTTTATGACCGGTTGAAAAAATAATTATCACCCTACGATAACCATGAGCCGAGATACACCTGAAATAAGATTGAAGTCACACAGAAAGAAAGTTGCTAGGTGTCCCAACGTAACACCTAGCAACTCCCTGTATTGTATCACAATTGATATATCAACATGTCATATCAACACAACACGGTCCTTATAAAAATGGATCGGGTAGGTATGAAATGCATGTCTTCATTTCAGTTGGACAAGCACCAAGCAGCAAGCTTTTAAGTTCTAACTCGCAATGAGACACTACTTATAACATAAGCCAGATTTTCAACTATTACAGCACAAAATATAATACCAAGCATAGCAGACGAAAACATCCACATTTATTGTGTAATTTGTTACACTCAAGTCACAGCAAACTCAAAACGGTAAATTATAAATGAGTGTAAAACTAAAGGTACACGAGCAGTGTCAAACCGCACGTGCGCACTCAGATAGGACTAGAGGCGCCAAGGGCCAGTTAGTAAAATGTCTTTTACTACATCATACATTCAATCGATTTTTAGATCTGCTGTGGCCCCTTGCCGTGTTATACATTCCTTTATTCTTGTATAAAGAAATATGTCTATTTTTAATTGTGTCCATATCGGGTTTCAAACAAGTCAAAACAAAATAGCAGTTTTGTTGTTAGCGGATGCTACTTATCTTAGCTTATTTAGAAATATCTACTACAACTACAAGAAAGCCTTTCTGAGTTACATTTAACTATTAAAGAGTAATAATCGTTACTTAAACTAATTCAACGCAACCAAAGATACCGCTCTCGCTAAAGGTAACACGACGTAATTAAAACAGAACAGAACAAAATGCTGACAGGAGCGAAGGGTGCGCGCGCACGTTGGTCTTAACACATAAGTGACGTCACAGCCCAAAATTGCTATCAGCCAATAGGAGCGCAGCGTGGTATTGCGCGAATTATCGATTACACAGTCTGGTGTATTTTTTGATTCTACACACTTTCGCAGGACTTAAACGCGAATATTTGGAAGTAAATTCTAAGGTCCCCTCATCCTTTAAAGTCATCAGCAAATAATTTAATTTTACTCTTAATATTATCAGGTAAATCATTAATATGTACTAATATAAGTAGGCTGTAGCACAAATATGAATGGTTCTAGCAATGGTCCCTAATGTAGTATCCATCTCGTGGCTTCTTGAATGACAGTCCTTTCCTTTCTAACACTTTTTTATCAACTAGGTCAGCATGGCGTCAGAAAGTCCAGCCCGGAGCCATGTCAAGCTCCCCATGAGTTGGTTCCGGCAAATAATTGTGCTGAGCATCATGTACGTGATAGTTGTCAATAAACTTCTCAGAGGTAAGCCTGATCAAAATATGCACCCTACATAATGACCATATTAGACCTGTATCTAATGTATCTGGAATTGGACGTATTGAAATACCAATTTTGACTATATATCCACAGTTATTCACCATGGATTTGTTTGTTATTAAATAGTTTTTCATAAATTTTTGGATTTAGATTAATTCGATGTAATGGGTCCAAGTTACTGCGGACATAGTTCACTATGTGTTTACCGTGTTTGGGTGCCCATCATATTTTACAGATGGGGGCGATATTTTGAACGATTCTATTTTATATTCATCTATTGCTGTACTCTGTAAAATTTGAAAAGTATTTAATAAAAAAAAAATAAGGGGCCATCTACTTAGGACGTCCGCCAAAATCGCAGATTTTCAGACCAGCCCCCCTCCCCCTGTCCGGGTGTGTCCGAATTTTCAAAGCCACCCCCCTCCTCCAGCTACTCTTAAGAGTACAAATAAATCCAACTTAAATTCATTGTTAATCAAATGTGCAGTTGGTAATCTTTCTTCGCTCTTATGAGTGGGTCGATCCATGATAAAGGCATGTTGCTAGTTGCCGAAACGTGGAAAACTAGTTTGTTTTGAAACACTGAGTGGAGACTCTAACTTCGTCACCAACTGTCACTTAAAAAAATGTGTAGTTACTTAAAATAGACAATAATACATTTAGTGACGAACAAGTTTAGCAATTAGCACAGTTACATTTAATTACATTTAAGTACTTAACATTCGTTCAAAATACAGGGATCTTAACTTACAGAGTAATTAGTGTCAAAGAGTTGAAATAAATGGGACTTTTTCGTTAATTCTGCCAAAATTTCCGGACGTCCGGATTTTCAGAAACCACCCCCTCCCCCTGTCCGGATTTGTCTGAAATTCCAAAACCACCCCCTCCCTATTTGCCGGATGCCCTAAGTAGATGGCTCTTAAACAAAAGATTTTTCTTTATTGACTAAAATGCAGGTTATTCATGCCTGAAGATCAACTTAATGGATAAAAATTAAAAGGGGACTTGAAAATTAGATTTAGTCGAAATCAATATAGTGAGCTGGAAGTTAGTACTTAGTAACAGAAGAAAAACTTCATCAGGTTTTGTGTACATAGCACTTGAATGGTTTGTCGGTTGCTTTGCTCCAAAAAAACCAATAAAAGAGTTTCCAGCAATCCGATCACCCTTCTTGAAGATGCCAGCCACAACTCTTGAGCAACTTATCCGAAGAAGGCAAATCACTAGCACACAACTTGTTGAGCTTTACATTGATAGAATTGTGGATGTGAGTAAAATTAAATAACATTCAATAGCTGTATTAATGTATATTTTATATATTACTAAAATAAAAGTACATGTATGATGCATGAATATTACATATTATGCATAATTGTTATCTAAATATTACACTTCTCCATTCTAATAAGTAGCCTTGCTTTTATACGGTCATAGTGGCATGATTCGGAACAACTCTCTTCATCTGCATGTCCGGCAGCCGTATTAGACTTAAGTACAATAAATGTTATTACAGTAAAAGTAATATTATGCGGTTAAATTCATTTCATCGTCAGGTAAACCCTTTGGTTAATGCTGTAGTCCAAACTGCATTTGCCAAAGCTTTGGATGAAGCTAACAGAATTGATGAATTGATGAAGTCAGACAGTTTCGAAACTGATCCTAGATTCACAGTAGAGAAGATGCCATTCTTAGGTGTTCCTATCACATGCAAAGAAATCATCTTTGTTAAGGTGAGATTATTATATGAGATATTTTCTATTGGGATTCAGTCTTAGAGGCTGGTCAGTTCTGGGGTTTGGCAGCTCAAATTCCAGGGAATTTGAACGACAATATCATGATAAGAAATGAAAATGTAAATTTTCAGGGATTCAGTGCAACTGCAGGATTGAAAGGGAGAATTGGTCACGTGTGTAAGGAAGATGCTGAGGTGGTAAAGTATATGAGAGCTTCTGGAGCCATCATCATTGGTCTCACCAATACCAGGTTGGTACTTCTTAGGTCCCAGGATCCATTGCATAACTGTGTTTGAAGTAAACATGGTGCGAAATATTAAGAAACTGAAGTTAGAGTTATTTACTTTTGTTACTTTTACTTTCGCGACGAAGCAATTTCGAATATTGTGGAACTTACAGCCTTATTTAAATACTTTCAGCCTAGTTATTATTTTGCGGCTGTACAAATTTACTGTGTTGGCTTCTTAAAGCAGGACACTTAAAAAAGATATAATATCAACGACCCCAATCATCCACTCCCTGTCCTGATGTGTTGTAATTCTAAAAGAAACTATATAGTAGTTACAGTGTTATCTTGTTATGTAACTCGCAGTCTTGCTACATTCTGTGTGGTGGATATCACATTATTAACTACAGGATATTAGAGTGCGTAAGAAACCTCAACTTTAGATACCGAAATGGACAGCTGGTGTTAGTTCAATTACTGGTGTCAACACTCTAACAAACTTTTATAAATCGAAAATGTGACTAGGAAAGTTGTAGGTGATATGGTTGGATTCCCGATTTTATTGATTCCAGGGTTTATTCCTGACGATTGGTCCAGTCGATTTAAATAATCGCATATTTAAGTGTTATTCATTCTCCCTGTTACAGCGAAGCATTAACTAGGACATGCATGTTAATTGTTAGGATCAGTTCACTCTCAGACTTCTTACTCAGGCCAGCTTTTTGATTAACAATATTTGCTCTAGAGGTCATACTCCGACTTGTTACATATTCAAATTTAAGTGAGTAAAGTAATATGTTATATAATAAGTAAAGTAATATGTAATATTGTAAAGTAATAACATGTCTGCGTTTGCAGTGAGTTAGCGATGTGGTGGGAGTCTCATAACCCTGTATACGGGTACACGTGTAACCCTTACGATCTGAGGTGTATTGTTGGGGGCAGCTCTGGAGGAGAGGTACGTTTGCTAGTCATTTGCATATTAAGTTACGTAATTAATAATCTATAAATATATTATCAATCAGGAAGTATTAGTTCTGATTTCTGTAGTTTGTCGGGAAGTATTAGTTCTGATTTCTGTATTTTGTCGGGAAGTATTAGTTCTGTCGTTCAACATTTTGTTATGGGACAATGATTTAAACGAATTACATATTTGCATGTTATTAATTGTTAAACTTTACATATTATTTTGATATTCAATGCACGGATGCTCAAGTGCGTGATTGTTGAATTAATAACTGATGCTTACTCAACTGCTGCAGAGTGCAGGCGTATAATAAATATAATGTAATATTATGTACATTATATAATATAATTGTTGATGACTGATTTATCACTTATCAGGCTGCTTCAGTTGCATCAGCCTGCAGCGTTATGGGTATTGGTAGTGATATCGGTGGAAGCATCAGAATGCCTGCATTCTTTAATGGCGTGTTCGGACACAAACCTTCTCCTTTCCTGGTCCCCAACAAGGGTCAGTAGTTTCATTCAGAGAAAATCGATTTTGGTTCAAGATTATTTTATAGTGATTTTTGAAAATTCGAGGATCTTCTGCTAGTTTTCAGTACAAAAATATCATGTTAACATCTGGCCCAACAAAGCATCCCATGAAAGTTTTTCCGAAGTAAACATAGACTTTAGAGTAAAAACCGTTCAAAGTTCAGGTCAATTTCCGGGAGCAACGGTAGAGTCAGCCAAGTACTTGGGACTAGGCCCCATCTGTAGATATGCACAGGACTTGGAGCCCATGTTGAAGTGTATGGCCCTGAAGGACGGACCTGTTGACTTCGAACAACCTCTCAATTACGATGTAGGTGAAGGAATACTGATTTGAATAAAATATTTAGTTAATTAAAAGCATTCCTTTGAAATAACACATTTAAGTAATAATCTGAATCGTGAAGTTACTCATTACTCATGTTTTTCTGATTATTTACAAGATTTAAACGTTTCTAGATCATTCGTATAATCTAACAATTTGAGTTGATTTTACTGAACACAGCCATTATTATATATACGTTTATATCGCAGCAAGTCTAATCGTACAGTTAAATAGTTGCACATCATATGACCAAGATACACGCTGTTGGAATGATGCCAGTATCACATGACGTTAAACTGTAATATCAGTTCATTAGCTGCTATTTTATCATCCCTGAAATGAGCCTATAGACATTCAATTCCAGAATTTTTAGAATGCTTTCGTGCACCGTTCATGAGATTTTACATAAAATATTCGGCTAATGAATTGTTTTTTGTTTGACCGCAATCTGGCCGCATATAATACAGCCAATAATAACCACGGCGTAAAATTCCAGACGTCAAAATTCCAGATTTCTCAAAATTAGTGTGTCGCAACCTACGTTAATGATTATTGAATATATAGCGTTAAATTACGCTCTAAATATTTAAATTTTATTTCAATCCCCTCATACTAAGTTGAAAATATATATTCTAGAATGATCTGTATCTCAAGCATAAACAACCGAGTGTGTTGGACACTAATTCTACACACCAAAATGTATAATTACAGCCAGTGTCAACTGTCAGGCTGTGGACAATGGCATGTATCGACAAAATAGCTTACAGCTTGGCTACCATTCAAGATTGTGTGAGGCTTCATACTAGCGTGAAATTATTTGTGTATTTTTAATTAGTGGTGTACTAAATACTGCGCGTACAAATAACGCAATGTCACAATGTACAGGGTTAAGGGGGGGGGACAATGGATATTTTTTTGTGAAACTTGATTTCGAGATAGCAGTTGACCAACAAACTAGGACCAGTGACCAAACTTTTGAGGGGGTCCCGGACCCCAACCGCCAAACGGTGCCCGCGGGGCAGCCACACCCATATTTGGTCCAAATTAGGCCCAATTTAGCCAAATACCCTGAACATGCCCAAAACCCAGATTTTAGGTGCTCTTCTTGTAGCTAGTGGTCTCCTGAACTCGTATATGAAATTTCATCAAGATTGGACAAAAAATGACTGAGTTATGGGCCAAAAACCATATGCCCATATTTGGGCATACGCACCAAATTTGGTAGATTTCGTCCCATAAATTGAGCAAATATCAATATTTTTGAATGAAACTTACTTTATAAGAAAGGTAAGCCTAAACTATATATTCTCTGTAAGTTATAGCTTTATATTTGTTTAAATGTGGATACTAAGGCGAAAAAACCACAAAAAATGAACTAAATTGCCCGTATCTTGGTTCGCGATATTCGCGGAATTGATCTCATTAAAATTGTAACAACTCAATCAGTTTTCAAAATTTTTGCATGAAATTTTCGGAATCGACTCGAAATCGCATTTCCACCTTATTTTGAGATCAGATTTTTGATTTAGGCCTCCAAAAAAATTTGGCGGCCAAATTCTGAATTTGTCCGGGAAAATTTTGGAATTCGGCCGCCAAATTTTTTTGGAGGCCTAAATCAAAAATCTGATCTCAAAATAAGGTGGAAATGCGATTTTGAGTCGATTCCGAAAATTTCATGCAAAAATTTTGAAAACTGATTGAGTTGTTACAATTTTAATGAGATCAATTCCGCGAATATCGCGAACCAAGATACGGGCAATTTAGTTCATTTTTTGTGGTTTTTTCGCCTTAGTATCCACATTTAAACAAATACAAAGCTATAACTTACAGAGAATATGTAGTTTAGGCTTACCTTTCTTATAAAGTAAGTTTCATTCAAAAATATTGATATTTGCCCAATTTATGGGACGAAATCTACCAAATTTGGTGCGTATGCCCAAATATGGGCATATGGTTTTTGGCCCATAACTCAGTCATTTTTTGTTCAATCTTGATGAAATTTCATCTACGAGTTCAAGAGACCACTAGCTACAAGTAGAGCACCTAAAATCTGGGTTTTGGGCATTTTCAGGGTATTTGGCTAAATTGGGCCTAATTTGGACCAAATATGGGCGTGGCTGCCCCGCGGGCACCGTTTGGCGGTTGGGGTCCGGGACCCCCTCAAAAGTTCGGTCACTGGTCCTAGTTTGTTGGTCAACTGCTATCTCGAAATCAACTTTCACAAAAAAATATCCATTGTCCCCCCCCCCCCCTTAATGAAGAACAAAGTAGATTTAGTGAGTACTTTCTTCAGTAAAACAGGATGAAATAAGTTTAGAATTTAGCTTGCACACAGATCACTTCAAACAGTCCCAATCTTGGAATCTAACTTGGTTTGAGATGCTGGCAGCAGGCGTGGTTCATGGTTGATATACAATACATGAGTCTAATTAGATAGTGCATGTTATCAAGGTTCCACATAATATTCAGTCTATTATAATTGAGAAGGCGTACGTGTGGTTTTGAACAATGCCTCAGCATTTAGAATTGCAAAGCATGGTGGCTTTTCCGGCTGGGACACTAACTAAACAAAGCATCGTATAATGTCGACAGTAGTCCGTACAGAGTAGAGTCAAAAATAACAATCATTACCAAAACGAAGCCTCTTTCTCATGTTGAATTGAATTGAAACTCAAATCGACGCGATACAACTCTTTCAGATGTCGAAGATAAAGTTTATCTCTGTTGAAGATGACGGCTGGTCTCAGTTTGATGGCTGGTCAGTGTTTACTTCTCCCGTAGATCGGGAGTTAAAACTCGCTCAGCGCAGAGTTGTCAACTTCCTGGAATCTTCTTGTGGAGCAAAGGTTAGTACTCGAGGATTTGTCAAGGATTTATCAAGGATTTGTCCACTGTAGCAGTGTTACAGGTAGTATGATGTATCAATTAATGTTGATCAGTCTAAACGCCCTGATCTGACAATGCATCATATGAGCAGCTGTAACACAATACTTCATACTCATCATTCCTCGGCAGCTGTCTATAATTTGTTAGAAACAAATATTTGCAATACTATCCTTGTAATGAAGATTAATACGTCAGACAAGACACAATGTACTGCTGTGTAAATCTGTTGACTGGTGTATTATGATAGTAGTGCAGTCTAATGATAGTATTGTCTACGACATGACTATTATTAAATCTAAATATTTGTATGTATATATCCTACATCGTAATATGATGTAGGATATATACATACAAAATACAAATATGGAGGATATACGCATTATATACATTAAAACTATTTGATACAATACAACTCAATCGGGCGGGGAGTACCTGACCAGCACATACAGATAATATCAGAATGTGCTAAGTGTAGTGCTTAAGTGTACTAAGTGTACTACTGTCATCATGATATTGATTGGAAACTGCTTAAAGCTACATAATGAGTTAACGGCTCTCAGAGCTATGGTATTTAACGATCAGAACTTTGGTATTTAGATGTAATGATCGGCATGTCCTAGACAATACTATCATTATACTGCACTGATATTATCATCATGTGTAGGGTAAAACTTCAAGAAGCACAGCTTTAATCTTAATTTAATCTTAATCAGCCGTATGAATCGTTAATCGCAGTTGGAACTCTCCTAGGTGGAGAAGAAGGAAATCATGTTGCTGCGTTACTCACTGCCCATCTGGATGGCAATTATTAACAACAACGGGGATCCTAAATTCTCTCAATTCTGCTCGTCCACAAAGGACAACACCGAGGTTTCGAGTTATGATCTGCCATTAAAGAACATGTACAAAGAAATGCTGAAGAAGTGTGTTGGAATGTCAGATCATACCTTCTACGTTATCATCACAGGTTTGTTCAGCTTGTTTATCATTTCCTACTTTAAACTTTTCTAATTTTAAATATTTAGTTTTATATTTATTTTCAACATCAGATTTTGTGAAATGCCAAAGTAGCGTGATGTTTTCGGACAGCCAACGAATCCTACGTAGCATTCTGTACCGCTACGTAACATACCAAGGCTTCCTAAATTTAATTCCTGTCTGGAGCTGGGACTTTTGATTACATCATATCAACCCTTCTTATCAGTGCAGGAAGTTGGTATTGTTATTTATTGGCAACATCTTTCTAGTAACCAATGTCACTAGCAGTGTACGGTATATGATGTACAATTAATGTTGACCGTCTAAACCCCTGATGCAATGCATCAATGAGCCTGTAACAATACTTCATAGACCTATCTCCTACGGCAGCGCTAAACAATTGTAGAAACAAATGTTGCGATACTATCCTTTAATGAGATATCGTCAGACAGACACAATGTATGCTGTGTAAACTGTTACTGCGGTATTATGATAGTAGTGCGCTAATGATAGTATTCTAGGACACTGCGTTCTTAAATCTAATATTTGTATGTATATCCTACATCTGTAATAGATGTAGATATATCATAAAAATACAAGATGGAGGATAACGCATTATATACATAAACTATTTGATACAAAAACCATCGGGGGAGTACCTGACAGCACATACAATATATCAGGAATGTGCAAGTGTAAGTGCTAATGTCTACTGTCACATGATATTGATGAAAACTACTTAAAGCTACATAATGGTTAACGGCCTCTCAGAGCTACTGGTATTTAACGATCAGAACTTTGGTATTTAGATGTAATGATCGGCATGTCCTAGACAATACTATCATTATACTGCACTGATATTATCATCATGTGTAGGGTAAAACTTCAAGAAGCACAGCTTTAATCTTAATTTAATCTTAATCAGCCGTATGAACCGTTAATCGCAGTTGGGAACTCTCCTAGGTGGAGAAGAAGGAAATCATGTTGCTACGTTACTCACTGCCATCTGGATGGCAATTATTAACAACAACGGGGATCCTAAATTCTCTCAATTCTGCTCTTCCACAAAGGACAACACCGAGGTCTCGAGTTATGATCTGGCCATTAAAGAACATGTACAAAGAAATGCTGAAGAAGTGTGTTGGAATGTCAGATCATACCTTCTACGTTATCATCACAGGTTGTTCAGCTTGGTTTAACATTTCCTACTTTAAACTTTTCTAATTTTAAATATTTAGGTTTATATTTATTTTCAACATCAGATTTTGTGAAATGCCAAAGTAGCGTGATGTTTTCGGACAGCCAACGATCCTACGTAGCATTCTGTACCGCTACGTAACATACCAAGGAAACGACCATTCTCCCGGAGAAGAATGTGCATAATTTTCCGTCGTTACATTATAATTGTTTTACGGCAAAACACGTATTGTAGACTGTAGAACTGCATGTTTTATTGTCAGACAGTAAACAAATTGACGTCAATGTTATCTTGAAAATCCGTTCTCAGAATGCCTGGGAAATTATTAATCACAATATTTTCATGAAGCCACTGTATTTTTATTTCCTGGATTGTAAGAATTCGGGCTTACGAGAACCTTCAACTAGTAACAGTTACCATATTAATAATGCTATGTAGTAAGATATTGGGGGTAACGGAGGGTATAGTGTGAGTGGGGTAGACGGAGTGATTAATTAACATGTTCTTCAACTGTGTGTAATCAGTTCTGCGTTATGGGTTAAAGATTGTTGATCACGTGTTGTGTTGATCACGTGTTCATCGTGCCTTATAAGGCTGAGACTGGGCAACCGTAAATCAACAACGCGCTATAAATGATAAAAGAACTGTTTGTGTTAGATGTGATTACGTTTTGATTTCGAATAAATATTTGAAATATTTTCGCTGCTTTTTAGATTGCAGGGCAGCTTGCTTTTTAAAAGCTCACGTTAAGAATATTTCGAATCGTATGATAATGTTATCACCGGTGCGTGGAGAATAGATAGATACTCGAAGTTCAAGTGAAAGATAGTATGATAGTAAAATCAGAATAATTGGAATAATGAACAAACTAAGATCGCGGAACCCTGACCCTTACGCTAAACCTACATGTTTCGGAGAGGTCTAAGTTTATAATTAAAACAAGGTAGTTAACCGTTGTTTTAACTGTTGTTTAACTATCCTCTCTACGGACTAGTGGTTTTAACTGTCCTCTTTACGGACTAGTGGTTTAACCCGTAAATATCAGGAGATATTTGGTCCTCGTGGAAGGTTCTAGAAGAATCAGGAGAGAGCTAGGAACTAGCTCGATTCAATCTATAACAATAAAATCGGATGATGAAATCGTATGATAAAATCGTACTTCGATGAAATCGGCTGATAAAATCGTACTTTGATAAAAATCGAATGATAAAATCGTGTGATATTCTTATCAAATCACATGATTAGTTTTGCAGAGTACATCCCAATTCTATGTAACATGTACAATGTACATTGTAAGTTATCACAGGAAATCTGGTTTTTGTGAAAAACATTGTGTGCAAACAAGTGTGAAAAGAGTGAAATCATTAAATGTTTGATCGTTTCAGGAATGATAGAAAGGGGCCCGGTGAATGACACATTTTACAGAGTACATTTGAAAATTGTGATATCCTCACCATCTCCTCATATTCGCATTTCGTACCTTATTTAACTTATGTGCGACATTTTAGGGGGATATAGTGTTTATAAAGCTTAAACAAGAGGCATTTATGGCTGCTTCTTTATTGACTATACGTATAGTAAATATACGCAACCCCTGAAAGGCTGATTTAAATATATTTAAAAGCTAGGCTGTAAACAAAAACAGCCACTTTAAATGCTTCGTGTGTGCACTGTGCGTATAGATTATAGATATATATAGAATAAAGATATCATGTGCTGTCACATTATGAACCTGGGTGGTCGTCTAGTACACACACCTAACTACCGAGTGCCGACGTTTGGAATATAAATGGAGTTAAGTCACTAATTTTGTTAATTTCAGGAATGATGGAAAGAATCCCGATGGCTAAAGCGAGTATAGATCAATTGCTAGCGATGGGACAAGAACTGAGAGATTTTATCCACGAGCTACTTGAGGGAGATACTGTCCTGTTATACCCATCCCATCCCATGACAGCACCAAGGTTTGTAGGCTTGTAAACTTTGTAATGGGTACCACTGTAACCATTATGATTATCATTTATATATACCATTATGATACCATGAATACACCAGGGGTTTTCGTTATAAATTTTGACGTTATTAAATTATGAGGTGTTTGGTGCAATTTCCGCCCTGAGCTCCAGTTGGATTCAAAAAACCATCGTGCTACAAACGCAAGGCACTACAGAATAAGAATGCACTCAATTTTGTGTAACAAATCCGTTGGGTAATGGCTGTGAACTGTGTAAATAATGGCTATTATTCTAATAAAGCCGACTATTTATTTTAAATGCCGGTTTATATCCAGCTCATAGCAGGTAGGTTATGTACTTAGTACATACAAATAATGGATTAGTATGATTTAGAATAAATCGCCCTTATCGCTTGATAATTACTCATTTTGTTTTTCAGACACCACATGCCATGTTTCACTGGATTTAACTTTGCGTACACTGGTATCTGGAACATTATTGGAGTTCCAGTTACTCAAGTCCCTCTAGGACTCGACAAAAATGGTCTGCCGCTTGGTGTTCAGGTTTATATGCATACATACCTAATATGTCAAACACAATATTTAACACATTCTTTATACTTGATTGTTGGTAAGGTGTCATTGGTTGGCTGGTATTTTGTTTTATTCAGCAGTTGGTCAGTGGGGGCTCCACTTTGCAGTGGCTATCCCGCTTGACATTCCTTATACGATATAATTATTCGCATTGATATCATACCATTCATAATATTGTCAAGAACTTTGCCCTGTGATCCACGTGTTAAATACTCGTGGAGCGTGCACTATTAACGAGAAGTTAATTAATATTAAATCCATCTTTTTGATTGGAAATATTTGCTAACATCACAGATCTTTAAGATTTGGAGAGTAAGTAACTAACACAGTCCTCTTCCTTCAGGTTATAGGAGGAGTTAACCAGGATAGGCTGACGATAGCTGTGGCTCGGGAACTGGAGAAAGCGTTCGGTGGCTGGGTTGACCCGACAGAGAAGTACAAGGTCTACAAATACGAGCCAATACGAGGCATGCCATCCAGCCCACGTCATCACAATAACTCAACATCATCTCAGAGTAATCCAGTCACAACAGACTCCTCTTCTCCAGTAGACAGATGACAGGGAGAAAACATAAAACACGTACGTGATAACGTGTAGCTGCTCGTTAGATTTATGAACATATGATTTACGTTAGGAGAGCTGTTATTTTTTACTTTTAAAAGTATGATGGCGAAAACTGAAATCCTGTTAATATTGAAAAATAGTCAGGCCATTTTTTAGTAGCAAATTGCGAATATTTTGAAGCTTTCCCGCGTTTAGGTTTGTTATTTAGATTTGCAGATTTAAATGTTTTTATTCAATAATAAATCACTGGGTATTATAAGCTCTAATTTATTGATGAATTTGCGTGAAAATTTTGTTATATTATGTAAAACAGTCAAATGCCATATTATTAGAGACAGTAAATGTTTATGGTTAAGTCGGTTATTTGAAGTATTTAGGGTAAATATCCTTTTAGAGCAATATGCGTATATTTAGTTATTATATATTATATATGCATACACGTTACAGTTTACTCTACTCACTGCACTTACTACATAATATGTGTAAGATTTAATGGTTTAATTTAAATCATTAAAGTTGAACTATACGACAGTTTTGTGTTAATATAAATCAGTTTGATCATTTCAATCGTATAACTTTAAAGTTAAAAAGTTTAAATATGTTTATAAGGTATGGGATAAAATGAAATTTATAATTTAACTGGAAAACAGAATAAACGAGTCGTAATTTAATTCCCATAAGTGCACGAAATTCCACTCATTCTTCAATGAATATGTAAATTTTTCTAGCTTTAAGCTTAAACTTTCCTAAATTGATAGTTGTTAAATTATTTGTAAATAAGCAATGTTCAGTTGTAGTTGTTAGATGTTCTCTGGATTAAATGCAGATTTTTTGAGTTTATGATTTGTTGTCACATGAGAAATTCTTGTTCCTCAAACTGCTGACAGTTTTATTTCTTTGGTCAAATTTACAGTTTACTTTAACTCACAAAAATTGCTCATTTGCTCGTTTTACTCACCTCAAGTACACTTAATTCCAAACATGTAAAAAGGACATTCAAAAATTTTAACATTCATCACAAATACATTTTATCCAAATATAGCGAAACAACTGTTATGAAATGAGACAGAGTAATAATCTGAGAGATGCTACACCAAAACTTGGCCTATCAAGAACAAAGATACAACTCATTGCTTTCCTGAATAAAACAGGTACTGAGGTACAACTCATTTTATCATGAAGAAGTAAATAGATGTTAACATATCGAGTAAACAATCTCGCTTTAACTGAAGATGAGGTAATGTTTCTGTAATTTCGGAATAGTTTTTTGTTGGTTTCGTAAACGACGCACCGTCTGGTGTTACATTTATTGACTATATTGTAAATTGAGAGGAGAATATTCTTTGGTCTGCCCTCCTCTCACTTCTTTCATCTCATCGCTCCAAACTTCAATAAAAGTTTTATTCGCCCCATCCTGAATCTATACAGTATCCATATTGCTATTAATTCATATTTTGGCTTATTGAAAAATTGTATTTCAGGGAAATAAGTCATAATTCTGCACAATATATCGTATTAACGAATATCGCAATTATGAATTATGGCTGTACTGGTCATATTTTAATGAAAACTAATTAATTATTAGATTTAAATCAGACTTCTGACGTTCATTGTTCGTTGTGTACTAATAATTTACAGGGTGTGACATGTGCTATAGACACCTTGTCTATAGTTATTATAGTCGGTTGTAATGATTGTACAATATGACTTACGTAATAAAAGCGTTGTTTTGCTTTTCGGTCACGCGTTTCGCCGCTTCCGTCACGTTTATGTAACGCGCTTATATCTGATTGTGTTTAAACAAATTTTCAACGTTCACCTCGATATCAAGATTGGATTGTGCGCGCGTCGTCAGAGCACATTTGACATTGATACATGTTTCGTATCCCATTCATAATCATAGAGATTCGGCGGAATGACTGGCTGAGCGTCGCCCAGTAAATCGAAGCCGGACTTACTTCAGCTTTACCTGGGGACCCCAGGGTATTATATTTATGTTCATAATCATAGAGATTAGGCGGAATGACAGGCTTACATTATTAGCTGAGCGTCGCCCATACCAGTAAACTTCAGCTTTGACTGGCACAAAATGCGACGCACAGTCACACGCCGCACGCGAGTCTAAATCCAAGTATTTATAGATTTCATAATGGTAATCTTTCTTCGCTAGCTCTTATATCATAAGACTTATGAGTGGGTCGATCATATAGTTTGATAGTTGGGGACGAACTTATTGTTTTGAAACACTGAGTGGAGTCGGAGACTCTCACTTCGTCCCAAAATATCAAACTATTTACCAGAACTGTGGTGTGAGGCGCCATCCCTCAAGTGCAATAATATTTTATTTCACATGATGTCTTACGACTCTTAGTCTTATTACTTGGCTGATTGTATGAAGCCTGGCTAGGAGATCAAAGAAGTAATATAAGTGATTGCATATCAATGAATTGTTGGCAATAAAACATGAACCTGCCGGGCTGCCGTATGTGAACAGTTTTGTTCATATAATATAATATTATATAATATAGCTAATATATATAAGCTTCATGTACTTTCTATGCATCTGTCACGACTTAAAGTTTAAGTATATGATATCTTTATATAAAGCGCTATATGCTTCGCTATATGCTGCGACTTATTACAGTTACACTCTCTGTTAAACGTTTATATATATTATATATATATATGTAGTGACCAATGACCACGTTGCAAATTAGCTATATCTTGATATGCGTTTTTCGAACATTGAAAGGGATTAACTTTGATTAAAAGTCACAAGGCTTGAGGTTCTGATGAGCGTATTGGTATTGACTATCGGAATCGTGATATTACGTCTTAATGGGAAGGGATTAAATTTAATACATCGCATCGCTAGTCCAACAAATAAGCTGCTAGCAGATAAAAGAAATGTTTAACATATCATAAGCGGCTAATAAACAATCGCACAATCGACAATCGTTCAGCTTGAGGTTTCAATTGTCGTATCTATCGGCGCCACCAGCCACCTGTGGTTATAGGTACTTGCTATCCTGTGCTCGTATAAAGACAGTCAGATAGTCGTGACTTTTAAACAATAGATTTTATAAGTATCATGTTATTTCAGAAAACCTTGACTATAGTTTCAGAGGATTGTCTCAGTTCCTTTTAAAACTGGTAACTAATGGTTGGCATTCAGCCCATCTAAATTAGATATTAAAGATCAATGCATTGAAATTCTAGCACATTATTACCACCAATATCATACCCTACATACCACCTCCCTTATCCCCATGACAACTAATTATGATCCCAACCTCCAGTTATTGACTGAGTCACAAATATTACGCTTTTAGTCAGACTATTGACAGCCAACCAGACCGTTTATGCTTGACATAACAGACAAGTAATTGCCGTTTTACGTGAGTTGCTTTCTAAAGCTCCGTATCAAAAGATCGTCACTTTGTTGCATATTATACGTAGCCCCAGCTAATATGTTTACATCAATAACAATCAGATTCATCTAGAACAGACTAGTGTTCCGAATCAGACGGTAGCTATGGTCAGTTAACACTGAGGGCTCGGATATATAACACCGTTTATTGCCGTTTTACGAGAGTTTCTTTCTATTTTCTAAAATTCCGTAGTAAAAGCTTTGTCGCCTTGTTTGATATTATAAGTAGCCCCAGCTAATATGTTTACTTCAATAATAATCCTTCTCGTGTTAAAGAACAGAGTAATATTTGAAAGCGTTGATACGATTCAGCTAGTAGGCATGTCGGACTTAACAAAGACTTCGGCAAATTTTCAAACTATCGATTTGTGACTTGCTTGGTAATTTCTCATGAAATAACTGTGATGTTATATCCGTTATCGTTTAAAACTCAGCGCAGTTTTTCTTTTTTTCTTCTCGTTTCTTTTCATTTTATGAAAGCGTTTAAATAACTTTTTATAAAATATCGACACACAGTCTAGCGAGATCAGAGCGACTGTCGTTTATATTTATTAAGCGAGCCGCATCGGTCATACGAATATATGCAGCTTAATCCTGTAAAATTTGCAAAATCGCATTCATTTAATTCAAACATTTAAACATCATTGAGTCGATAAAGAATCTATTGTCAAGCAAGAACATGATGCATTATGATTTGTTTTCATTTGCATTATTGATAGGTTGAATAGATCGTAAATCGCCAACAGTTATGAAAGCAAAGGCTTGGCCTGGTAAATAATTATACTGTTCATTTTTTAAGAATCAGTGTGTTTCTTTTGTGAAATTTAATACAGTGTAACGTATGCTGAGCTTTACCATTTTCACTTTGACTTAGTTTAAAAACCGATTTAGTTAAAAGATTCCTTAAACCTTAAAATCTGCATCTCCATGACAGATGACTTTTCCTGGCTTCTGTAGCCATAACATTAACATAGGTTATTAACAATAGTAGTACCTCCATTGGTGGTGTATGCGTGTGACACTGACAAGTAGAATTTAATGTTCACAATACGATTTGTTATCTCATATATGTTATCTATTAAGTATCGGTTTTCTTGTGCTCCAGTCCTTGTCTGTACCAAATATGTGCCAACATGTTAGTAGATATAATTATATTTCAGAAGAGAAATTATTGGAGTTTCCTCACATAAAGTTTCATCACCCATCTTGCAACAACTACGTTTACATTAACGGACAAAAGTATGCATTTTATTTGTTATTGCTCTTTGCTATTTGCTTGTAAATGAATAACAGGTTATAGCCTATAAGTATAAGTCAGTTGAACCTGGCAACTGCCCCTGTTTGAATCTGATACCATCTGTAGATCAATTGGGTGGTAGATAAATTGATTTAAAAGATTATTGAAGAGCGTGATCTATGATCAGTAAAAGTTGTAGAGGATATAAAGTAGTATTATAATAGAGGGATGTAGAGTAGATGATTTTAAAATTAATGTTAGATTTGTTATTTGCTAACTTTACATATCATATAGGACCACTCAAACTAGGGTTCCTTTTCTCGTATAACTTGTGCATTTTGAATGATCAAATAGTGCCGATCTCACAGACCAACTTCACATGACAGAACTTTAGTTAACTATCACAAGTTAGGATATTTTATTGTGGTTTCTATTGAATACTCATTCTCTAATTTCTTAATAATCGTTGCTAATACTTTAATGATGTTTCAACATCAGGTTTCCATCGTTACCCAAGAATGATCGTGGGAGGACGTGCTCATTCCACAAGGATTTACCAGAGTTCATAACTTCTCAATACACTGCATTCAGGTGAGTTGCTCACTAGTCACTGGTACAAACTGATCATAAGAGAGTTTAAATTTATCGGGTCAGCATGATAAGAATTTCTTTGAAGTTAATTCCAGCGGCACTCAGGCTAGTTGCTACTATCGTTTGTTATTGTTAAATGTTAATAAAATAGGCTTTAATTATTGTTAATAACCCTGCGTGTCAAGCTCAGCATTTCAGTTACATTCGGAAGGAGGAGAGATGTATTCTCTGCAAGAACTTCAGACTGGGTTCAGATAGCAGGGATGTTCATGTGAAATGTGAGAGTACGCGTCCCAAGTAAGCTATGTTGTGATAAGATCGCATGTTTGGAATTTATAGGCTATTTAATTTTAGCAGCTCTGTTGCTATATATATATCCGAAATATAGCTAAGCTGAGAATAACTCATTGATGTAGTGTTCGCAATCGCTGTTGAATGTTTATAAATATACAGTCGCAGTTACATCAGAATTTACTATTAAAACGAGATAATCGTTGACGCGGATTCTTCAATAACGTGAACATTTGTTATCTAAGGGTTTTAATATTCAACCAATAGACATGATCAGGTTTCAACCAAACTACATATTTGTACAGAAAGTTAAGTTACATATATCTGATTAACTCGACTGTATAAATACCAGTCCTACATTCCCCAAAGTTGACATACCACCCCGCAGGAACGACAGCAACATACACGGCTCCAAAGTACTACCCCTGAAGATCCACAAAGCAGTGACCTACCTGACCAGCAACCGACAAACAGATGCCGGGGCACGGAGCTACTCCACCCCAGCTACTCGGGGCACCAGCACCAGAATGCAGAACACCATCTCCAGAATATCCAATCCACGACGATGTAAAACACGTGTTTCTTATACCTCTCCCTCCAGACTGTCTACCAGGGAGTCCACTAAAGGTCGACAAGGCAGCATGAGATCTAGTCTAGATTTCTCAATCGCTCAGTCGAGGGGAAGTAACGACTCCAGCTTTCCGCCGCTTTACAAAGACGAGTCCGTAATTTCGCCGTCTTATTGTCGCAAGTTTAACAGCCCCGTAGAACATTATCAACCAATCGTGAAGATAGACTGTTTATTGGGCAGTATGAAGTCTGCTATGAACCCTGTTTACATATAGGGAATTTAATGGTATTTCAGTGTTTGGTTTCGAGAAGTCAGATGTTGATTGTTTCGTCCGTTTTATTGATTATAATTGCTGCTGCTATCTAATATTTGATATGATGATAAATGACAGGCAAGTCCTGCAAACAATGTTTACCATCTTATTTTGATTTTTGAACGGAGAACACGAGAAAGATTTTATTCATAGCAAAATAATGTTTATATAGATGATAATACATACAACTGAATTCAATAACTTTCTATTGTTCAACCGTTTGAATATTAGTGTGTATGTAAAGTAAAAACCTTCAATTCATCTTTCAAATCATGCTCAGCAATATATACCCCACGCATAATAAGCCGGCAACTTGATTTGAAGCCATGAGTTATAAATCATAAACTAGAATCATAAACTAGAATCCATCAAGTGCCCCAATTCAAATAACCCGTATACAAAATATGCAACAGCCGTAATAAGGCATCAAATCAATAATTTCCAAAACTTCAAATACCATGTGACTCAATATCATGGTTACTCATGACTGCTGTGTCGTCACAATATAATCCCCATAGATTAAAATCATTTAAATTTAAATAACCCAATAAGCATCATTTTAATAAGCATCATTGTTAAGCAATGGTTTGGGCAGTCATCTTAAAATAATGAGACTGTAAAGTAAAGCTATTACATGGAATTTTGGCTTAGCTACAACGCTAAGTCCAAAAACATATAATCGCAGTTTAATAAAAATAACAATAAAAAATGCAGTTTCTCAATTAAGAACACTCCAGCGGAAACTCTGTTCCGACGGGCAATGTCCATATATACACATATTGGAGTGAGATTAAGTTGGTAATTTGCCAACAATGTTAATATGAGTCGTTCTGAGTATAAGTACGCTCTCAATTTGAGGAGCTGCTCTGAAGTTCATGCTGTACAATAGCAGCAGCTCTTGTCGAATTAGTCATTTGCAATGTAGGGCTTCTTCCGAGGTCTAAGAGATTATTTCATACTTCAATAGTTTTTGCAGTCCTTCCAGGATATCATATGCGAACCTCATCAATAATCTTACTGAGCTGAGGAATTTTTATGTAAACGTCCGTTCCGATGCCCGGCATCGTCTGGAACTCCAACTTCCCTTTTACAAACCCAACGTACGCACGGGATACTGGAATTCCAACGCCGAATCCAGCTAATGAACTGAAAATAAAATAGAATTACATAAAATAAAATAACACATTGTTTTGAGAAGATTCGATATAAGCTAACTGTGATTACTGGATTACATTACAAAAGCCACCAATGTTAGCTTTGCAATTTGCATGTATCTATGCCTGCGATCGAGCGGACACCGGCAGTGGAAGGTGCCTTGCGTGCGTCCTCCGTCGTGTTAATTGCATGCAGTGGGCGCGCGCGGCAGCGCAGCATGATTCGAATATCGCGCTTTGTTGAACAGAGTTGTGAGTCAAGCGCGATACACAAATTAGCCCAGAAGACGTTTCCCTGAATTTTGTAGGGGATTTTGTAGGGGATTTCCTGGTCACGTCCCAGTACGGTTTTTTTTGTGTTGAATGTGAATCTTGCCCCCGTCATGTAATTTGTCTATTTAATTGAGCTCTTACCAGTATTTTTCTACCTTATTCTAAATTTTTCTGAATTAAGCTATTAACAACTATGAATGAAATCAATTTTCGAGAATTGAGCAAGAAATTAGGTCAGACATAGAGTATATATACTCTATGTAGTATACATATATACTATATAGGGCTAGCCGCAAGCGTGCTAAAAATGGGGGCAAGAAATAGGGGCGTGCCACATCGCCTCGGTCACATACAGTGTGTGAATGGATATATGGCGTGAGGGCTGATTTTAACTACTACTGACAATAATGATAGAGAGTTTAGATAAACAATCACGCATACGACGTGCATATTATATTCCTCAATAACATAAATTGTAATCGCATCTAAGAATAGAAAACAGAGATCAATCCAATGACGATCACAGGTTGGTTTAACTAGCATAAGCTAATCATAGTTTTTAAAAAGTGGCGTCATTTTAACTGACCACGTTCGAGTAAGATTTTAAGTGTTTGTGAAAATCCACGATATTTTGCATGTCACTTTATTCGTACACTTTCAAAAAATAAGAAATATTCCACCCTAAGTGGTGGTTTACGAGAACGATTTATGTGAACGTACCTTCCCTGATCCTGAACTCCAGTGCTGACTAAATCACCAAAAGCATGGGAGTACTCCTCCTCCGGCTTGAAGGATGTGTAACAGTAGTTCTGTATTTGATTTAAGACACTGTCCGGCATTCCCATCCCTCTGTCACTTATCCTGAAATAATGATCGTTTTTAGGTTTGCATATCTACGATTAGTGCACTGTAGGTTGACAAGAATTGTAGTTTTACACCCTAAGTTCGCTAGAGATAACCTTTTCCCGAACTACAGTCCAGGTAGTGGTTACAGTGCTGCACGCCGCCGTTTTTATTTCAAAACGGCGGCGGCGCGGTTTAAATCTTCGGTGGTGGCGGCGTAATCGACGTGGGGTCACGTGATTTCGCAGATTAAATTTCCCTCTAGAATAATGCCATGAGGAGAGCAATTTTTTTGGAGAGCAAAATATCGACATTAGCGATGCCTGCGACAGTAAATAATATGGTTTGAAATGTTGGAAATTTCGTTCAAAGAATTCTTGCCAAAATTACGAAACGGCGCATTTGGCGTATAAACAGGTTCACGCCGTGTACGCCGTTTGAAAACGGCGGCATGGCCGAAAAATCATCGGCGGCGGCGTGCAGCAGTGAGTGGTTACACCTGATATCAATGAGGAGTGAGGACTGATCCTCTTGTAACTAAGTAATCCCATCACGTACATGGCTCTTGAATCCCGTGATTTTAAAGCGACTCTTGTTGAACACAGAACATCCTTACGCACATCGACTATACTTCTCTTGTATCCGTACGTGTCGGACTACAATTCTACGGAGCAGTACGTGACGAACTTTAGTGCATGTTGACTAAAGCAATTGTACCGATATTTGGAATATCTGCACGGTGCTAAAACAATGCAACTTGCGTATATCAAAATCTCATACTTGGATAAGAACCAAACAATTTAACGGATTTTCCGGTTAGTTTGAGGTAAGATTTGTGCTTACATCTAGAATACTCATACAACTATATTTACTAATGACTACCATTACTTAATATCTATTGATAGCGTCGAATCGCGAGGAACTTCTGAGTTTTCATTCAATTGTAGCCACATTTTTTCAGTGAAATGAATTTAAAAATCTCCCAAGTCGGCTCACTGTTCATACATTGGTTGCAATATAATTAATAGGACACTTTCAGGATGTTACACGTGTAAAGTATTGGGTATATATTAATGTACTAAGGAATGTGACAGAAACCGTAATCCCACATCTATTTAAAGACATCTAAGAAAGCACATACCGGCCTTGTACATTGTACAATGTACAGTGTACAATGTAGGAAATAAAATTAGTTTTCCTCTCAGTAAGGCACAGTTCGGTTAGTCCAAGAACAACGCAGATGTTACCTTGTAAAGTTTAAGCCATATTCTTACATTCTGCACATTCGACATATCCAAAATGCAGACGGAAGTACAATACATACACCATTGTACACTAATTTACCGTACACAAAAGCTTTCTCATGATACTTATTTCTTAGACTTGATCAATAGAACCGATAAACTTACGTATTTCAGGCATCTCTACAAATAATACTGTCAAACCCAAAGAGTTCATTCTGGCAAAACACCATGGGCTTATATATAATCAAATTTCATGTACACTGTCCCACGCACAGTTCTATATAAATTAGGCGTGCTATCATCAACAAACCTACTGAGTCAATAGTCCGTAACTCATGTTTTAAAGAAGTGGCACTTCGACTACGTAGTAATTTTTCCTTCATTAGTGCTGGAAATTTTCCAATGACGATGATATTTCTGCAAGCTTTAACAGCACAGTCTCAGCTTTCTAAAGTACTACTCAACACCTTTAAGGGGGCAACCTCAAAACCCAATCTCAACCCTCCCTACACTGCTCACAACATTAATCTGAAGTTTTACACCAAATTAAACTAGCCTTAAAACCCAAGACCCGTTTAAACATTAAACAGCAAATTCTAGCCCAGGCTTCATTTTATCATCATGATATTATACCTTGGCACACGTACACTGAATTAGTCCTACACGATTCCGTTCATATTGTAAGTTTTTTTCACTAATTGTTTATGCTGCTAGTCATTATTTTAATTTCTATCCGGAAAATAAAGAGTCATATCGATTACTGCCTAAACAATCATGCGACTTTGATTATATGTTGTTCAACGAATGGGCCGAATCAATATCCATTGATTTAATTTCAATCGTAAATCTGATTGATTTTATGATACAGAAATATGCCACTTTGATTATGGTGCTGAAGGAGGAGGTATTATAATCCAAAAAGCAAGCTTTTCTTTTTCCCTAGGAATCCGAGTCAATAACTAGTCTGGATCATATTTTTCAAAGACAGACAACATTGTGACCTTTCATTAGAATAAACAATCTAAATAGTTGCAATATTATCATAGTAGTTAGTTAGTTAGTTAGTTAGTTAGTTAGTTAGTTAGATGGCTGAGTAGGATAACTACATGGAATAGCTCTACCATCAAGAAGATACTAGACAAACTACCTTCTAGAATCTTAACACCAGTGTTCCAGTAACCAGATACCAGTAACCGTATTATTAAATTTGGGGAATGGCACCACGAGTTATTCTCTGGGGATTGAAACCTTCACAATCTACGACACGTATTATTATTATTGTTATCTAATATTACCCACAGGAGGTAGGTACACTGCACAAAATATGTAATACAGATTTTACGTTGTATTATATTAAAATGTTATAATTAACATTATTATAAGGACTTCCACTGCCCACTGGACTAGTATAGTGTAATAACTTAATAAGTATCATATAAATATAATTGTTAATTGTAGCTGTGATGAAATTCACTTTATGTCTGTGACACTGAGAGAATAATGAGGATTTATTGCTGAACCGGTATAAATATGTTGCGTTGGAAAAATATGCGGCGAAAATATCCGTAACAAAGTAAGAAGGCGAATGTAAATAATAAATATAACCTGACCGGTAACGCAATTGAAATTTCCTGTGATAAATTAGATAAATTTAAATTGATGTTTAAAAACGAACCGGATAGTCCAGAAATCAGGCGTGTTACAGATAGTACATATAATAGGGGGCTTGTCCACTTGGTGCATGTTGGCTTCAACCGTCGCTCTGAGATTTATAGGTAATTAATTACATAATTCTTAAGCTTACGTGCCGATATAAGACACGCTTCACTTGCTTCATGTTAATTTGAAATTACTCAGTCTTTAATAACGGCCCATGGCTCACGTGAAAATTAGAAAGATTCTAAAATTCCTTTGAATAAAAACTGGAATTCCATAAAAACTGGAATTCCTTAAAAATAAACTGGAATTCCTTAAAAACTGGAATTCCTTAAAAACTGGAATCCGACTCACCTGAAACTATTTTTCAATATCTCCCTCAGAACGTAGTCGATAATATTAGGAATAAAAGCTACTCTAGTCTCCGCATGTCCGTCAATAAGCACCTCAGGCAACGTGTCCATGTAGACATTCTGACACACATTCCTGGAAATATGAGGATTCATTTCGCCATTTCTATGTAAGTATGTGAGTGCTCTACAAGTTATTGGGACGAAAGAATAAACTGATTACAACATTACAAATCCATTACACTTATTATGAAAGCGATGTAACAGAATCGATATTTTCTAGTCCCCATTCATCGCAGTCTGGTAGTTTTACTGCCTCTAAAATATGTCATTTTTTACCTATTTTCATATCAGCTCTTCTCAATATCAACATTTAAACATTACGCCATGTTCATTACGTTACAATTTAATCAATTATCGCTAAAATTGTGCATATTTTAACAAACAATTGTTTTTTCTTACGCAGCGAAAGTAGCGTTCTTCATAATGATCTTCTTAAGAGAGAGTTCAGTGTTCACTTCACTTATGTACCCTACCTGAAAGCAGTTTCAACGTGTTGCTATGTCAACACGCTATTGCTATTCCCTAAAAATAGATTTATGTATTTGAATACTGTAAATTTACATCAAAATGAAATTGTTGATACTAATTTGGATATTCTTTGCGCTAAACAACGATTTGAGAATCTTAATAACTACAAGATCAAGGATGGGCCAAGGATGCAGCTGATGCTTACCATATCCTGCATATGAAGTTTACAGCATAATATGAACACTTCCAGCATATGAATTTTCTCAGCATATGAAATTTTCCAGCAAATGAATTTTTTCCAGCATATGACAATTTCTATTTTATAAAATACATGAAATGGATAAAAAAAACATTAAGAATATTTACCCTGGTCACGTGCATGGACAAGTGGTGACGTGCAAGTATTCTGTTACCCAGTCTGTTCAGTACTATGTGATCCATCAGCTTCTTCACTGTATTTTGCTGAAATCATGTCTGTGTTAATTGGCAGGGGATAACAGAAGTGTACCTGAACTCTGAACAATAGTAATTGAAAACGTTAACTTGAAATGTGTTTACTGGATACTAAACTGGTCAACAAATTAAAACCATTTTCACTTATCTGAATGGTAACTTAAACAAGAATTTTCACCCTCCTCGCAGATAAAAATATTGATGAGAACTCACAAAATTATCGCCTTTGAAATTGGGCTGACTATCATGTATTCCCTTAGAAAGGAGCAGAATTATATCTTTTAAGTCGTCTAGAATTCCGCTCAGAGCCTCGTTAAACGTGTCCACATCTCCTAAACTGAAAAAGAGAGAGCATGTGGGATTGGTTCACAGTATGTGTTTTTTTTATGATCTGGACTTGAAGAATATATATTTGTTCACATCATTTGTCATACAATTTGTTTTTCTATCCTAAACGTGAGCAACTCACGAACTATGATTGTAGTAAGATTCTTACCTCTGAATTTTCTGCTGGTTAAGCATGTCCGAAAAAGCGTGCATGTACAGGTCCAGAACCCGCTTGATGTCTGCATTTGTCAGTAATATGTAGGGTAGGTTCTAAAAAATGCGATCGTTAGAAAAGGCAGTATAACCGCTGTTTGGTTAACCTGAACATTTAAAGTTAGTTTTATTGATCTTAATGTTAGTTCAGATTGTTAAACTCACAACATCTTAATCCCCAGCTCTGAAACTTGATCATAAGGAATGTGTTATACTTACGATATGAAATGTTATCTCTGATCATTATGTACAGTGTGCACCTGCATAATATTATGTAGTCAGTTTGAGGTTAGTAAATGAGTAAATTTCAAAGAGTTCAATAAGTACCCACTACCCTCGCTAAATTTTAAATTCTGTGACTGATATAGCAACCAAATGGTAACGTTTTGCTGAACTATATCAGACTGATTAATCATAATTATTATACCTTAGGAGACATATTCATATTCAACATTATTATATCTGACATGATAATGACATCATCATTTCATCAATTGATCGACAAGAATGTGGAATTGTTTTGTAAAATCCTCAACTCTGGTACTATGTAAAATGTAAATATGTCTTCTGAGGTAGTTGGTTTACACAGTGCGCCATAAGGTGAAGCTAATGTGAAGACACAAGTTGATGAGGTCTATTATATTATACGAGTGGTCTTAGAAACACTATAGCCTGGCTCAGCTCCATCATTTTATTAAAATTGTAGAGTAATCGTTAACACATCTTGAAGTAATAAAGACGTGTTAGTATGTTATGGTAAACAAGTAATCATTTGTACATATTTTTTACATTTGTGTATATATTATAATCATTTTACCAAAGTTGGAATTTTCTGGTAGGTACAAAAGCTGTTTAAGTCATATAAATAATCTTCCGATACAGTAGAAAAGAAATTATCGAACTTTCAAATACTGATAAAAATGATTTTCAATGACATGATGATTGTTAATTACCTGAAGGTCCATGATCACTTTCGCAATCCTGACCAGAAATTCCTTGTGCATAAAGTGGCAGCTCCGGATAAGCTTGTTCTTATCTCTGCTCCGAGATTCCTTCATCAGCATGCCAATCGTAGGCTCGTTTATTGGCTGAAAATAACACAGTTCAGTTTCACGATTTCAAGTTTCCCGATTTCACGATTCAAAGTTTTAGAATAAAAAATAATAATGGATCAAGTAATTGTGTTATAAGCACAAACTCAAAGAATATATATTGCTAGATATTAATCTCATTTAGACACTAAACGGCTTCCACTCTATACTGCTATAGTCAATTATATACGCTAATCTAACTGCGTATAATGCGATTACACTATTAATTGCTCGAGGCGCAGCCGAGTTCGATTATTGCAGTTATTTCACGAGGCGCAGCCGAGTGCAATAACTGGTGTAATCGTATTATACATGCAGTTAGATTCGCGTATAACTCCACGCCTCTGATGTTATAACCGGTGTAATTAGTTTATAATCGCACCTACTTTGTTGTTACAGGGTGGGCCACAAAAGACTACCCATCCTTATCTCTTAAAATTGTAACATCTCGCTGAGATCTTACTAATTATTATATTTCAGAATGGAAAAGCGCCATAACTTACGTTCTGATTAATATTTTTGATTCAAATTTTTAGAGAATGTTAATCATAATTAGACACAACTTCGTTCTAAGTTTTGTGTGAGTCTGAGCTTGTCTGACAAAGTTAGCTCCTGAGTGTGCTAGCTTTAATTTCTCACCCAGAACTGTTTACATTGGTTAATAGAAACCACCAAAAAAAATCCTGGGTAAAAAATTTAAAAAACCACCGATTTATTTATGTTTTACCAATTCTATTCACCATGATACATCGCACATTCCATGTAAGAAGAACGATATAAACAAGCAGGAAGGATCATCTGTGATAGTCCTTATCAGTTAAAATATAGAGAGAATGGAATGTGCGATGGATCCATGTGAATAGAATTGGTAAAACGTGAATAAATCGCTGGTTTTTTAAATTTTGTTACCCAGGATTTTTTTTGGTGGTTTCTATTAACCAATGTAAACAGTTCTGGGTGAGAAATTCAAGCTAGCTCGCTCAGGGGCTAAATTGGTCAAATAATCTCAGTGAAGCTCGCAATCACACAAAACTTGCCACAAAGGTTAAGCTACTTGTTATTAACATTCTGTGAAATTTAGAAGCAAAAATATTTATCAGAACATAAGTTATGCCACTTTTTGTTTTACAAATAATTAGTGAGATCTCAGCCTCATACTGTGTTGTGTTAATACAATGTAAGGATTGACTTATTCCAAACACAAGGAAAGATGTTGTCCTAAACTATAAATTTAAATTTATGCCCATAAATCTGCTACTTGCTACCATTGCACTAACTGTCGCCAAACTACCTCAGGTAGTTGTTTTAAGTCAATACTTGAATCAGCACCTCACGGTAGTAAAATACTCAGTTTGAATTAGGTCCTCATTTGATGAGGTGCTCTCTCTTAATCTAATTATCTGCCTGAGCCCTGATTTACATCATCTTTCAGGGAATCAGTGCAATTAGTTTAGTAATCGTACCTAATAAGATTTCGGTCACTCTCAAAACAGTGCAATTAGTTTTGTAATCGCACCCCCTGGAAAAAAAATCTACCAAAAACCGGTGCAATTATGGAATTAATAAATGGCCGCCAAATAGGTCAAAAGTGGAGTTATATACGCTAATCTAACTGCGTGTAATGCGATTACACTATTAATTGCACGAGGCGCAGCCGAGTGGAAATTGATACAATAATCGCACGAGGCGAAGCCGAGTTCGATTATTGCAGTTATTTCACGAGGCGCAGCCGAGTGCAATAACTGGTGTAATCGTATTATACATGCAGTTAGATTCGCGTATAACTCCACGCCTCTGATGTTATAACCAGTGTAATTAGTTTATAATCGCACCGACTTTGTTGTTATACAGGGTGGGCCTCAAAAGTCTACCCATCCTTATCTCTTAAAATTGTAACAGCTCGCTGAGATCTCACTAATTATTTTATTTCAGAATGGAAAAGCGCCATAACTTACGTTCTGATTAATATTTTTGATTCAAATTTTTAGAGAATGTTAATCATAATTAGACACAACTTCGTGCTAAGTTTTGTGTGAGTCTGAGCTTGTCTGACAAAGTTAGCTCCTGAGTGTGCTAGCTTTAATTTCTCACCCAGAACTGTTTACATTGGTTAATAGAAACCACAAAAAAATCCTGGGTAAAAAATTTAAAAAACCACCGATTTATTTATGTTTTACCAATTCTATTCACCATGATACATCGCACATTCCATGTAAGAAGAACGATATAAACAAGCAGGAAGGATCATCTGTGATAGTCCTTATCAGTTAAAATATAGAGAGAATGGAATGTGCGATGGATCCATGTGAATAGAATTGGTAAAACGTGAATAAATCGCTGGTTTTTTAAATTTTGTTACCCAGGATTTTTTTTGGTGGTTTCTATTAACCAATGTAAACAGTTCTGGGTGAGAAATTCAAGCTAGCTCGCTCAGGGGCTAAATTGGTCAAATAATCTCAGTGAAGCTCGCAATCACACAAAACTTGCCACAAAGGTTAAGCTACTTGTTATTAACATTCTGTGAAATTTAGAAGCAAAAATATTTATCAGAACATAAGTTATGCCACTTTTTGTTTTACAAATAATTAGTGAGATCTCAGCCTCATACTGTGTTGTGTTAATACAATGTAAGGATTGACTTATTCCAAACACAAGGAAAGATGTTGTCCTAAACTATAAATTTAAATTTATGTCCGAAAATTAATTTCGTGCGACCATTGCACTAACGGTCGCCAAACTACCTCAGGTAGTTGATTTAAGTCAATACTTGAATCATCACCTCACAGTAGTAAAATACTCGGTTTTAATTAGGTCCTCATTTTACGAGGTGCTCTCTCTAACTCTAATTATCTGCCTGAGCCATGATTTACATCATCTTTCAGGGAATCAGTGCAATTAGTTTAGTAATCGTACCTAATAAGATTTCGGTCACTCTCAAAACAGTGCAATTAGTTTTGTAATCGCACCCCCTGGAACAAAAACCGGTGCAATTATGGAATTAATAAATGGCCGCCAAATAGGTCAAATGTGGAGTTATATCCTTAATCACATTGTAAAATCAAATACAACTGAATTGTTAAACCAAACTTACTTCGAGTGCATAGTAGTTAATTTTCTTCTGTAAGGAGGAAGATTGGGTGACCAATATAGGCTGTTTAAATTGTCTGTGTAAGTCAGATGTTGTGAGAGAACGAGATCCGATAGTGAGTATGGGTTGGATTACTTTCCAAGAGTTTTGTATCATTCTGCAATTTGAGCGATGATCTCACATCAATCCTACAGTAGAAAATCATTATTGTGCACCTCTAGATGTCGGTTTTTACATTGAGCTTGATCATTTAAAAACAAAAATTGTTTGGAGAACAAAGATTTTATTTCATATAAGAATTTAAGAAAAGCACATATATATATTTTGTAGCTGTCCTTCTGAACAGTAATAGTAATCTAAAATAAAATCGTTCAAAAAGCAACTGAAACATACTCAAATCTTGAAAATCTTTAAATATCTTACAAACTAGGAAAGGGAATTACATTTTGGGAATGGCAAACAAAACTGTATACTAAAATCTACAGTAAAAACTAAAACAGATCTGTCAAGTTTTAATACTTTCAACACTACTATATAACAAATAATTTGAGGTATCGAATTATTACAAAACAGTTGTTTAGTTTTTTTAAGAACTGACAATTTGTCACTTGTCCCTTCGGTCCTTGATCTTTCTAGCAGGGTTTTTGACATGGAAAAGATGAAGTTGGACATGAAAAAGATGGAGGAACAATTGGAAAAGATAAACCGCAATACACTTTTGTTTAAAGGTAAGAAAGATGATAATGACAATAAGATTAAGGTAACTATTCAATCAGCGATATTTGATGACCTTACGTCTGCAAATAAAAAAATGGAGATGTTTGTTGTTATCCAGGATTTGTACACTTTCTCCAAAAATGCTCTCCAACTAACACAAAAAGTTTTAGGAACAAAACAAGCCACAACTCCTATTAAACAGGAATCACCAGATTTCAAGGAAATTATAAAGACACAGCTCAAAGAGGTACTAGCAGAAGTACTGCCCACAATACTACCAGATTTATTGAATACAGTGGTAGCAACACTACCCAAAGAAAAGAAAGCAAAAGAAGAAACTATGCTTGCAGAAAAACACACACTCACAGTTGAGAAAAAGACCACAGACTCTGAAGACGCAGAACCTATCACAATTGATGATGAAAAGGAAATGAAAGGTTCCCTTAAAATAAACCCAGTGAAGAATTTTAGAGTGTCCGGAAATACCGCGACTTTCAAGTTCAGTACCAAGGATCAACTTAACAAAGCTGAGACGGTATTTAAAAGTCAAGATAAATACAAGGTATCGACAAAGTCCGAACCAGGGAAGAAATTGGACCCCAAACTGTCTATTCGAAATATTCCCTCTGACATCACAAACAAGGATACATTGCTAGAGAAACTGTTGGAAAAGAATGAAGTACTGAAGTCCTCTTCTGAAAAAGACGATGCGGTTAAAGTGGTTTTCTTCGATGATAAAGAGAAAACGGCTGTCATCCGTGTCACTGCAGCAGTACGTGAGTCAATCAGACAAAACAGAGACTATGTACACATTGACCTTAGGGAACACCATGTCACAGACCGCATTCATGTCATCCAATGTTATCATTGCCAGGAATTTGGTCACATGGCTAACTCCCTGTACTGTAAAGCCAAAGATAAAGACCCAACATGTTTCTTCTGTGCAGGAAACCACAAGTCAAAAGACTGTAGAAACAAGAATGAAAATAATGTCAACAAGATAAAGTGCTCTAACTGCGCCAAAAGTAGTAAACACTCTGAGAAGAACTCAGCAAAGACCCACAAAGCCTCTGACAACCTATGTCCCTCGTATGTAAGAGAACGGACTGGAATCATGAATAGGACAGCAGGATGTGAGAGTTCAAAAAACTGGTACGTACAGAAGACAAAGGAGACCAAACTACGCCTAGGAAGAGTTTAAGGATTGGAACGTTTAATGTAAGATCCTTAGTGAACAAAACAGTCGGAGTCTTAGAGCATCTTCAAGAAGTTGACTGTGACATCTGCTTTATACAAGAAACTTTCTTTCGTGATGGAAACACAGCTAAGATAATGGAGATCAAAGACCTTGGTTGGAATATACTCTCGGACCCACGAAAACATAGAGGAGGAGGAGGTATAGCCATGCTATTTCGTGATGTCCTCCAGTTAAAATGTAATAGTAAGGTCACGAAGTACAAATCCTTTCAAGTGATGGAATCACTGCTACAATCTCAACAAGATATTGTGAGACTTGTGAACTTGTATCGGCCTCCTTATACCAAGAAGGCTCGGTACACGGAGTGTGCCTTTCTAGAAGAATTTGAAGACTACCTTAAAGACCTCACACTCAAACCTGGTTTTCCTATTATCGCTGGAGATTTCAACTTTCACAATTCACATGGAAAAGCCTGAAGAACACTACCCAAAGAAGCTCTACCAACTCCTGGAGGAGTATGACCTTTATCAACATGTTCCTCTTGAACCAACCCATGACCAAGGTGGAACCCTAGATCTTGTAGTTAAGTTAATAGATCCTTCAAGGAAAAACTGACTTCATTTGAAATCCGTCCCTCAAGAACCAAATCTGACCATTTCCTTGTCCTCTTCGATGCAGACATCAAGACAAAGACCAAAGAAGACGTTAAATTTATGAACTACAGAAACTTTAATTTTATTGATACAGAACAGTTTAAAGAAGATATTGTAATTTCAAAACTGACAAACTTCCCCAAAGATATGTCTCCGAATGATGCTGTCGTCCTTTACAACACCGTACTCACTCCTGAGTGAGTTAATGGATAAACATTGTCCCTACATAAAAAAGAAGATTACCAAGAAGCCAATGCCCTGGTTAGATCTAGAACTTCGTATTCTCAGGCGAAAAAGAGGAACTGCGGAACGTGCCTGGAGAAAAGATAAAGTAGATTGTATGTGAAAGATCTGAGTACTTGAGATCTGATTATGTTAAGCTAAGAGATGAGTTCTCCCGAGTAGAGTTTGTTGAAAGATGTGCTCACCACAAAACCTCTCTTAGGTCCTCTTCAGGGGATACTAAAGCATTGTACAAAAAAGTCAACAGACTTTTAGGAAATGACACCCAAAACCTTCCAAACTACAAGGATCCTGTTAAACTATCAGAAGATTTTAAAGATTTTTTCGCTGAAAAGGTTGCTACCATCAGACGAGCCATTGAGAAGGAAGGAAAAGATTCTGTTAAAGACAAAGACAAAGACAAAGACAAAGACAAAGACAAAGACAAAGACAAAGACAAAGATATAAACAAAGACAAAGATATAAACAAAGACAAAGACAAAGACAAAGACAAAGACAAAGACAACGACAAAGACAAAGACAAAGACAAAGATCCTGTTCTTGATAACGACTTCATCTTTGATAATTTCTCTGAGATAACAGCTGATGAACTCAAAGACCTGGTATCGAAGATGTCCAACAAGTTCTGCTGCTTGGATCCGATCCCAGCATTTCTCTTAAAAAACTGTGTCGCTGAACTGACACCTATTTTACTCCACGTCTTGAACTCATCCTTAAAGACTGGAATCTTTCCCTCAGATATGAAGAAAGCAGTCATTAAGCCGACTTTGAAGAAGGAAAATGCTGATGTTGATTGTTGATATTCTCAGTAACTATCGACCAGTCTCTAACCTCTCTGCCTTCTCCAAGATCCTAGAGAGAACTGTACTTAACCAGCTCAATGTCCATCTCACGACACATAGCCTCTACTCGGACGTCCAATCTGGATACCGCCCTAACCACAGCTGTTAAACATTACTTGTAAGAATGTGTGATGATCTTAACAAAGAAATTGAAGCTGGGAATGTTGTTATTGTTGTACTTCTCGACTTAAGTGCAGCGTTTGATACCATTGACCACACAGTCTTATTGGAGAAGCTTATGAAAGACTATGGAATTACTGGAAGTGCACTGCGATGGATAAAGTCCTACCTTGAGAAGAGACACTTCTGTGTGAAGATTGACGATACTCTTTCTACTTTCTTGGAGCTTTTGTTTGGAGTTCCCCAGGGATCACTCTTGGGGCCTATTCTTTTCATCCTCTATATCAAAGCTCTCCAAAAAATTGCTGCCAAATATGGTCTTGATATACAGCTATATGCAGATGATTCCCAACTGTACATCTCGTTTCAACCAAACCGTGTGGTACAGTTCACTGATGTCCAAGACAGGACAAACAAATGTCTTGCAGAGATCAAAACATGGATGGTGAACAATTACATGAAACTGAATGAAACAAAGACAGAACTACTGGTGTTAGGAAAGAGCCATGTTCTAAAAAAGTGTGAACTCAGTGTCAGACTACAATTCGGAAGCACTGAAATTCTACCTACGGAGTGCAAAGGAGACAGCTGGAAGAGTCTAGGTGTCAAATTTGATGAAACTTTAAACATGGAAAGACAAATAAATAATGTGAAAAGGAAATGTAGCTGGACAATGATGAACTTAAGAACTATTGGTCGTTACCTGGATGAAGGCATTAAACTGATGTTGGTGAAACAACTGGTTATATCTAAATTAGATTACTGTAATTCTCTGTACATGAATCTACCCAAGACCAGATTAAACAAACTTAGATCCACCCTTAATGGGGCAGTTCGTTTCATCTACAACATAGAAGACAGAACCACGGACTTGGTTCCCTTCTATAAGAAGGCCCACATACTCCCTATAGACCAACGAATCTTCTTTAAGGTGTCTTTTAACCCACAAATCAGTTCACGGTACTGCACCTGATTACCTAAAAGCATTAATAGATGTGGCTGTAGTGGATACAGAACTTTCAAACACCATGACCAGGTCGAAAAGATCTGGTGACCATCTCATGTTAAAGGTACCAAAGAATAAAAGGTCAAAAGTTGATGACAGACGTTTCTCAAGCCATGCACCGATTGCATGGAACTCTCTTCCAATGATGTTGAGATGTATTACTGATACCAACTGCTTCAAGCGAATGTTAAAGAACCATTTATATAATCAGTTTTGATGTTTTTTCTTCCCATTTGTCTTCACTTTGCAAGACACATTGGCTTTTATTTTTTACTGCACTCCATTTTATGTCTTGATCTCTACCTTTCTAGGATCTGTCTCTCTTTTTTGTTGATCATGTCACTGTATTATCATTTATAATACCTATACGTATTGTATGGTTAAGTTTCTGCTTCTTTTTAGTTTAGTGCGGTGTTTACAATAAAAGATGTTTTAATTTTTGTCTTAAGCCTTTTTGAGTTATACTTTTGTTCATTTTACACATTTGCTCACATTACTCACAGTCAGCCGCTCTGACATGGTTAACCTCTTCCTTGTGTTGTTGGTTAATCATATGAGCGGGATATAAATACCTCATTTCATTTCATTTCATTTCATTTCAACTGAGTATAAATCAAATTGAATGGCTGATCACATCTTATCTAATCTAAGATCAGTTTCTCAGGAAAATGCTTAGTCTCTCAATATGAACTGGTAAATAGAATTTCAAAGTATCATATTATCACAGTAATTATATAAACCCCCTGGACGCGAACAGGTAACCAGGAGCAGG